ATGCAATCTATAGGACTTACGCGAGTGAGCTGAAATTTTCAGGAAATGCAAAGTGGAGCATGATATGCAAATGATTAGAATTTCAGACCTGTAGCGCATGCGTATGCTGTGGAGCGCCCTCTGAACGGCGGATAGATCCGAATAAATAGACGGCTGTAGCGAGGCGTGTATGGTTATCAGTAGTTATCTGCTAGTGGTAAACGTTAACTCAGTCGTTACTTATACCTCTTCGACGAAAGAGAGTGAGATTTCAACATTTTACGGAGTTTGAACGGGGGAGAATCATCAGTCTTCGTGAAGCTGGATTGTCTTATCGTGCAGTAGCCGCTCGTGTGCAGTGTAACAGCTGCACAGTGATGCGTGTTTGGAAGCAGTGGACGGACGAGTGTCAGACAACTCGGAAATCCAGGAGTGGACCCCGAAATGTCACGTCAGCTAGCGATGATAGACACCTGGTCCGCAAGGCACTGACTGACCGTACGGCACCCTCTAGACAACTGGCAGCACAGTGGTCAATAGCTACAGGTGTTTCATTGTGTGCTTCATCAATTCGTAGACGTCTGCTGCAGCGACGACTGCGCACAAGGTCTCCTTTATACAGGATCCCCCTCACGCTAAGCTATCACCGCCTGCGGCTGCACTGGGCCTATCAGCATAGGGACTGGCGTGCTGATTGGCAGCGTGTCGTGTTTTCTAATGAATCCCTCTTTAATTTGTGGTACCATGATGGCCGCATTCGTGTCAGACGCTGTGCCGGTGAACGTCACCTTCATTATCGAATGCCACAGTGGACGAGTTATGGTCTGGGTTGCCATAGCATATCATGGACGATCTCAATTGCTACGAATTGTGGGTAATCTGAACAGGTAACCGATACAGCAATGAAGCTTTACAGCCCCAAGTTGTTCCCTTCCTTCAAGCCTTGGCAGGTGCTGTATTTCAACAGGACAGTGCCCGCCCTCATATTGCTAGGACTGTTCAATCCTTCCTTGCATCGCGGCATGTACAACTTCTTCCTTGGCCTGCGTATTCCCCGGTTATGTCGCAGGTTGAACATGTGTGGGATTTTGTTGGTCGGCGTCTCGCTCGTGATCCTCGTCCTGTTGCTTCAACAGACGAACTTTTAGAACGCATGCAAGCAATATGGAATGCTCATCCTCAGACAGATATTCAAAATTTGCTTGACTCCATGCAGCGTCGTGTAGCAGCACTTATTGCGGCGGTTGGTGGATAAACAAAATACTGATTTCGATCTCTTGTTATTGCTTGTTTGTTTTGAAAGTTTAATCATTTATTTGTACCTATACCACTACCACTACCACGACTCCTTCATTCTTCCACATTCCACGATTCCTTCATATGTATATATGTATATAGTAAAATAAATAAATACAAAAAGAAACGCGAAGAAAATTAAGAAAAACAATAGGTTTCATTTATTGCGCCTACGATGACGATGGCAGTGTTGTATATCAGAAAGGAGGTATTTTTAAAAAAAAAATTTTTTTTGTTTCACTTTCAGTTTTTATGAAACGCGTTTTGTATTTAAGCGAAAAGAAGAAGAAAAATGCTGTCAACATCTACTGAACCACAGCAGTGGAAGCTGCTTTGAAAATATCAAAACTTGTTTGATTACCGGATGAAACAGAGAGGAGCTGAAAAGCGTTTTTTTTTTTTTGTTTTTTCAAAATCTTCAATCTTCTTCAGGCATCAGACAGGTTTTAATGTTGTTTCTATCGTCTTCCTCGCTTGCGATTCAGTTTTTGTCTTTTCTTCGCTAAACATTTAATTGCGGCCCCTGAAGTGAATACTTTTTTACTTGTTTTTCTTTTCTTTTTTTACAAGAATTCAAAAATATACATTAAGGTCCACAACTTGCATAATTAGATACTTTTATTTTTCAGTCTAAGCCCAATGGTGTTATTTACCTTGATTTTTCTTTGCTTTTGCGAGTTCGTTCTTGGTGAACAATTTCGCTATTACTTGGATATAGAGAATTTGATGGATCCCGATTGGAATTACGCTACGCACACTGTCGGTACTAAAATCCAGTGTGCATCCATGTGCTACAGGCAGCCAGAAGACTGCTTTTACTTTGGGTACGAACAGAAAAGCTGCTACCTCCTGAGAGAGAGCGTCGACAGACACCGGTGCTCCATCGAAAACTGCAGCAGAGATGGAATGAAAATATATAAAGTGAGTATCGTTAAAATATTTCTCATGGAATAAAAAAAACCGACTCTATCTGTCAAATAGGACTGTCTATGGGCTGAGAAGATTTATTAAATCTAGGTTTCTTTTTAGAAAAGCAAAGTCCTTAATTTACACAACTCTTGTCAGGCCGGTCTTGACATATCCTTCTGAATCTTCAACAATGACAAATCTGGAGGAAAATTGAATCTCGATATTTGAGAGAAAGATTTTGAGGAGTGTACTTGGTGTTGTAAATGAAAACAATAACTGGAGAATGAGATTCAAATTTGAACTGTACAAGATTTATAAACATCCCGATATTATTAAATGCGTAAAAATAAATAGAATGAATTGGATGGCCCAAGTGATTCGAATGAGTGATGACAATGCAATAGAAATGATATTGTTATTTAGACCACAGAAGGTGGAGGTTAAGATGGGCTGATTCGGTGGAGTCTGACTTTCTTGCAATTCATGGAAAAAAATTGGAGATCAAGGATAAATTTGAAGTTGTTAGGGAAAAATCTTCAGAGGAAGGCATTGGCACACGCTAGGCTGTCTAGCCAACTATGATGATGATGATGATCGCTGAAATACGCTCTTATAGGTCTGAATCTCACCAAGTCATAGATCCAGGGCTTACCAACAACTTGCCCGGTTAGTAAAAACGCAAGAAACGTCGTGCTAACCACCATCCCCAGGGAAAAAATAGCTTAAAACCTTTAAAAAAAAAACTTCAGATGACCTTTTCTTACTTTTGAGTAAGATTTTTGACCGAAATGCAGCTTTTTTTTCCTATTAAGGTGTCTGAGAAAAATCTTTAGGTTTTTAACTGAAAATCAATCCGAATTAAGTCTGAAAAACCTGCAAGTATTTTTTTGAAAACTTTTCTAAATGCTGACTGCAAATCTCTGAAACACATGTATAACTCTGCATGTTTTCAACGGAAATTTTTTTCCGAAAGAGGTGGTCAGCAGAGAATTCCATTGAACTTCCTTTGACAGCTGACACGAGTAACAGAAAAAAAAATAGCGAAGAGTTTTTTCAGAAGTTTGCTGCGATATTTAGACAGTTAAATATTAGACTAGATAAAAAGATATCAAAATTAATCCTGAAGTAACAAGCTTATAAACTAGTCAATCGAAAATTAATATACATATGCTTTAGATTTTTTATAATTTTCTTGTGTCTAGACGTAAGCAATATTTTTTAACATGAAAGATCAATGATGCTTATTTAAATTAAACTTGACTCTTAACTGAAAAAATAATTAATTTCTGAAATGTAATTAAAATTGCTCAGCANTATATAAGAGTTAAAAGGTGAGTCAAGTTAATTACTTTCAAAATTACATCTTCTGTACATTTTAAGTCTAATATATTATGCGGACCGGAAAGTTATGTCGTTTTCGCTCATTAATATTCGTTAGTTTTAAAAACCAATTCCGTTTTTTTCGATTCATTTTTGATCCGGGATTAAAAGGTTGTTGCTAACGAGGGTGAATATATTATTGATTAAAAATAAAATCTTGATAACAAATATCAAATGCACCGAAACGACATTACTTTCCGGCCCATACAATATGTATAAATGAGGCTAGACTTTAGTGTTGCTCAAATTTTCAACTTGTTTCCTGTTCACATACTGTAAACTTCTGTCACATGGTTTCCACAGCCTGGGAGTGGCTAGAATATTTGGATATTTCTTCAATGTGCTTAGTATAAGAATTTCTGGGTGATTGATTTAACTCTTGTTGCGCGATGGGAGGATTCAATAATGATTTTAAAATAACCCGAAAGTTTATCTCATTAGTACAGAATTTCTGCAAGTTTATCTTGCTTTTAAGGTCCATCTTCCTATACGACATGGAAAGAGAGCATGGAATGAAATTCCACTGTGTGAAACTCCAAGGCATTTAAAATGTCCAACACACATGTTTGATTGACAGGAATTCATTGAACAAAGATCAATCTATCGAAAATATACTTTCCAGATTTGGATTAACTTCAAATCATTAATTTTATTTTATTTTATAACCGTCGTTGAGTGTGCAATTAAAGAAATATAAAAAAGCACTTAGCATAGACCTCAAATTAGTCTTTGTATATTATCTTAGTTTATAACCGTCGTTGAACAGCCGACCCATTTTAGGGTTTACGGTTACTAATGTTCAACTATGTAAGTTTGAAAGCAATTTCAAATTTTCATTTATTTTAAGAATGAAAGATATTAACTGAAGTTTTATTTCATCTCTGTTCATTACAACTTTTTTGCATTAAAGTGTTCCGAAAATAATTTCTGCTCATTTTATTGTGCACTCCTGAAACTAATAATAAGCAGAAAAATATCCCATCATGAAATTAAGATGAAGATAAAAGCAAAACTTTTTAGACAAAATTATATTAAACTATAAATTTCTTGACGAAATCATTATTTTCTTAAACCTGCAATTTTAATACAGCATAAAAAAACTTCAAGGTACAGGTTTTATACCGGTCTCAATTTATTTATACATTATTTGCATAAAAAATTTATATTATTTTTAAACAAATAGCTCAAACCATTTCAATACAATTATTTTTGCTTGATTATAAATTTATAGTTAAAAAACCAATAATAAATTAGTGGCATAAAAGGAAAACATAAATGCATAACTAATTCTCACATGCAAAGATTATTTAGAATAACATAAATTTTATTGAATTTAAAATAATAATATTAAATGGTTTATATATGTGAATAAATTTTGAGAACTGATTATTATGGAATTCCATAATATAAGGCTTCATAAATGTAAAAAAATATTGTTGATGACAGATTTCATCTTTGATAGTCTTTTATAAAACCTGCAGTTTTTATTTTGAATTATTAGAAATCATGGCTTCATAAAGCTTTTGAAAAAAACAAAGATTTCTTTTCGCAGGTCTAGAGTGACCTTTGAAATGTCTGCGTAAATCCTTTTCGAAGGTCTACGAAACGAACTGACCTACGAAATATCTGTAGTTTTCTTAATGAGACATTGCTTTCCCTGAACAGTTTTTGCAGATTTTCTTCCCAGGTCATGCCGTATTGGTCTAAGAAATTTTTAAGATTCCGTTAACCCCTTCCGTTAGCTTCATAAGGATAAATCCTTATGAAGCTATAGTATTATTTAACAGCACATTATTTTGCAAAACACGTGGAAGATATGGAAGTCACTGTCGTATATTAAGTGTTCAGCGTTTGATTATTACGTATCTACGTATATTTTCTCGAAACTTTGAAGGAATATTACACGATGTATGGTTTTGAGTAAGCTACTTATCTTAAACTACACATTTGTCAAGCTTTTGAGTTTTTAAATATTTTAAATTTATTATGCTTAACACTGCTGAAAACTGATTTGGATGATTCTAAAAAATTACAATAATGTAAATTGCATAAAAACAATAACATGAAAAATCTGAAACAAACAATGAAAAATCTGCAGAATGTTAATCAGAAACTCGGGGGAATCAGCAGAATACAAAATCTGTAGATTGCATAATTTTGTCCGAAAAAAATTTATCGAGAATCTAAAATGGCAAAGCATATTACATCTCATTATATTATATCTCATTATATCTCAAATTTTGATTAGGTGACGGTATTTTATTTTACATGCAACGAAAGATACATGGAAAATAAAAAGCCGCCTAACTTATAAACCATGACAGAATTAAAATCATCATTGATCACTTTCAATGCTGTAGTTTAAAATAATAAAGTTGAAGAGTAACGAGATGTTCCAAATTTAGCAAAGAACGACAGCCATCTATACTTTCTCTCCTTGGTTCTCTCGCCAGTTAATTAAATTATTGGTAATATTCATGTATAAGTCTATGTTAAAAAAGAGCGCCTGTTGTTAAAAATCGTCACATAAATAATTCAAAAAACTTAATATCTGACTATCTGGACTATAATGTATTCACGTTTCCCTCAAATAAAGTGACTTGAACAGCAGTGGCTCAGGGAATAGAGCGCTTGTATCCCAACGAGATGACCCGAGTTCGATCCCAGCGATAACAGGTCGATTCGAATTCCGCACCCGTCTCACACCGACCAAAGCGCTGACATAAAGTACCTTCGGTGGTACACAGATCAAAGATTAGCGTCCCCTTACCATCAGGTTAAGGCTGGAAGATTTTCGTGGTTTTCTTCTCCATGTAACGTAAATGCAGTTAGTGCCCTCTAAAAGTCCTCCATGAAGGCAAATTTCTCTTTATACTTGATCCAGGAGTCCCCTTGTCTTCTGGATAGGGATCAAAATTACAACCGTAAATCCTAAAATGGGTAGGCTGCTCAACGCCGGTTACAAAATATAAATTATTATAATTTCATTATAATAATTTAAAGCTTTTGCTTTCTCGAGAATCATGAGTCATAATTTGGAAACAATTTTTCTAAATTAATTGCTTTTCCACAATTTTTATCATTTTTTTTTTCTTTTCTTGACAATGATCAAGGAAAAAAAAATGACGGTTAAAACCTTTCATACACTACAGGCAGAAAGCTCACAAAAATTCTTTTCGGTGACTCTAGTTCTAAAAAAATTTAAAAAATTGCATATACATCCAAAATTACAAAATAATGCTTGAAGTATTTCTGGAGAAATTTTAAAAAATGATAAAAACTGAAAGTGTGTCTTTTATTATTGTGGGGTAAGGCATTTTCTCTAACGCAAAAAAATATACAACTCGAAAAAATAAATAACAATACTTTTAATTACAGTCGCTGAATATTGCATTCGCATATTTATTGATCCATTTTGAAGGTTAAATCACAATAGAAAAAATTGTGATCCCCGCTAGGCAATTACAGGTTACTCGTTGGCAAAATGATTGTTGCTTAATTTACTTTTGGAAAAGAAACTCTATTGTGTTTTCATCTTGGACATCTTTAACTGATAATCCTGAACTGCTCGGTACACAATTTCGCAGACATATTGAATTGCAGCTCAGACGCATTCTGTGTAAATTCTTTTGATGACTGAATAGACATTGAACAGCCAATCGAGATCAATATTATCATTTTCAGATGGGTACAATGGTGCTTGATGGTGATTATAAGCTGCATCATACACCTTTTTCGAATTCACAAGCTAATACATGAAATATGATTTGAAAGCTAGGCTTTTTTTCAATTTTACATGAAAAGTGAATGAATCATTTATATTGCGTGGAAGACAGTCTACGATTCTTGTGCAAGTCATTGGGTACTTTGACAATGGATCCTTTCATCCCTAACTGGTGATCAACACCCAGTTCTCGTATTTGCATGAAAGGGGTTCGGAGAGTCACCATCCCCTCTTCGGTAGGGTTCAATTCCCTCAACCACTTTGGTATTTTTGTGAGGGACGGGCTTCATGATTGCGTTTGCGAACGGAATCCTTTCGTTTTCTCGTTTGTGTGGATTGCTTAAGGTATTCCCGTCTGCGTTCTTTGGCTTTGGCTGTTTCAGCCTCGGTAAGTTTAGGCCTTGGCATCGTTTTTCTTCTTGATTCAACTCTGACTTTTGGGACCGTGTCAATCAGTTTCGACCCTCTTTATTTGTGATACTCACCTGAATTAGTAATGAAAACGATCCAGTTTGAACTGTATGTTAGAATTTCTGATTCTTAATTAAAACAATAAAAACAAAAATATTATTCAAATGATGAAATTCTCTTTTATTCACAACTCGAAAAGTATTTATGGGATCTCACATTTCCCATATCTCAAAAATAAACTCTCCAACTTAATACATAACAAAATTAAAGTGAAAAAAAGAATTCGAAAAAAATTATCAAACACCAGCGGTCACCATAGCAACGCATGAGCACTGTTCACTATTACTCTTGATTATTAAAGTTGAAAAGTGATGACGCCATGAAATCCAAACCAAGACCCATTTTGGCAATGAGTAATATATTCGTAACCATAATACGAACTTTTTCAGAAAGTTGCATGAAATGTTTCATGCATGCGTTGAACGTAACGCGGTTGCAGAAAAGGCGGATGCTTCTAAGTCTTGCGATCTTTATTCGATTTATCAATTTTATCTTTAGATCATTAGATCATGTGTACTTTTCTGTTTCTTCCTTCAAAAAAAATGATTCGTTTCATTTGCTGAAAAAATAAATACAAATTAGAGAATCTTACCTTGTTTCTAGGATATGAATTTTGTCTTTGAAATTCATCAAATCTAATCATTAATGTCCATAGTGATTAATAATTAAATCTGTTTAAATGGCTGGAGCACCCTGTACCTTCCTGTCATGTAATTTCAACGCTTTTAAGCTCAAACAAAAAATGCGAGAAAAAGGAAACAGTTTCTTTTTATAGTTTTTAAAATTTTTTTTTTAAATATTTGAAAACTTGCGATTCGTTTAAATCTCGTATCTTTTTTGTTTCTCTTTCTTTGAGGTGAACTGAATGTTCTGAACAACCAAAATGCAGTTCCGAGATTGATAGATAGTCAAAAATGAGAGATTTATTTCCAAGTGTGTTTAAACCAATGACTGCCTCAATCAAATTTTTTCTTCTTAACTTTTAGGTAATAATTCCCCCCTTAGAAACCACTACACCCATGACTACTTCAGTAGGTAAGTATTATTCTAATATCTAATCGTATATTAGCAAACAGAACAATACATTATTCATTAAAAGGAGACACAATTAAATTGAATTCATTTTTATGGATGGAATGAAAATCGGTTTTCTCAAGAATTATTTTCAAGCTCCGATTCGAACTTCTAGTGTATAACTTCTATCGGTGTTTAAACTTATGGATGTGCATTATTTAACTGGAGCTTATCCCAATTCGTTGACTTCTTTTCCCCGAAAACGTGAAACTTATTACCCAAATGTTTCTTTCTTTCATAGTCATTTAAATTTTCGAAAGTTAATCTATAATCATGGACTTACTGATTTTCTTCTTAGACTTAGTGGTTGCTAAGATAAGAAAATACCCGTTTAGTTTAAGCATGAATAAATTACAACTCTTTTTATAATGGAACTTTTCATATCACTTCAATTTTTTTTTAAAAAAAGCCCTATCCATGAGTTCAAAGAGAATTTCAAAAAAATTGAGAAAAGAAGGTCCTTTTTTGAAAATTTTGTGTTTTTATAAAAAGGCCCATTTTTCTATATCAATAAACTAGCCGTCTTCGACGAATAGCTGGCCGGCTGTTGAGGTTTGAGTTCGAGATTAGATATAGTTTTGAGTTTCCTGTGCTGGCAACATCTTATTGTTTTTTATATTCTTTTTGATGTAAATAAAAGTTAAGTTTTCAGTTTGTTCTACGTGACTTTCAGTCTGATTTGCTCTCAACAAAATCCAACACAAGTACTCCTTCGCGTCAGTCTGCCATGAATGCCAGAGTTTTTACTGATTTTGACCGGCAGGATTTCTTTTCTCGGTATAGAGTACTCTTACAATCATTCTAAGAATCTTTTTCATCCATTTGCAGAAGCATATAACTATCGGTGATGGGTAAAGCAATACATATTAAACGGGTGTATTTAACTCACATGATACTTTAAAGGAGTTATTATAGTCCAGAAGTTAGACATTTTCTTTGGAACAATTAATGCCGATTTTTATTTCATAGAAAACTCTGTTTATATCCTCTTCGAACTTCTAAATTATTAATCTGATCGTATCGAGATGGGTTTTATTCAATTCAGCGTGAAAAATATGCACCGAAAACAATAGTTCACTTGCTTTTCTGGAGAAAAAAATTCATTTCTCAGCTGAAATTAATCCCATTTTCTTAAAAACTAAAGTGAGTAGGAGAGTAGGAGAGTAGGGAGAGTAGGAGAATTTTCAGGTATCCATTATATTGACACGAAAATGTTTTTATCAAAACGTATTTTGGACGTTAATTTTTCCCCTCTTTTAGTTATAATAATTGGATAATTAGTTCAACCTTTAAAAGTAATCGCCTCTAAAAAATGAAAAAGGACTTTTAGTGGTATTATTCAGAACTTTCGAAACTGAGATTTCGGGTATTCCCGTTCAAACATTTCATTTCAACGATTTTTTTTCTTTTGACGTTTTATGCAGACATGCGATCACTCATTTTTTATTCTTTTCTTATTTCTCACTCCTAAATTTACATATATTCTGTATGTCGTGCATTATCCGCTCAAGAAATCTAACACTAATAAAATTTCTCTCAACAAGCATTCACTACTACTGAAAAGGAAACAACCACCCCAGATATAAGCTCAACCACTGAAACTACAACTGACGTGACATCAACAACCACCGATGCAGCAACAACACCTAAACAGACAACGACAACTACCCCTGGCACGACAACTACCCCTGGAACGACGACAACTACCCCTGGAACGACGACAACTACTCCTGGAACGACGACAACTACTCCTGGAACGACGACAACTACCCCTGGTACAACGACGACTACTGCTGACACAACAACAGCCAAAGAAACAACTTCTGTATTACCAACTACGTCTGAAGCGACGACCACTACGACGGCAGAAACAACCAGTACCACCATAACAACAACGACCCAAGCAACTACAACTACGACAGGTATGCTTTAAAATAAAAAGTGTAAATTTAATATCTCATACTAAAGTGATGAGATGCGTGCATTTGTAGCATATCCGTAGCTTCATATATCAGGATGATTCAGTTACTAAGTTTGAGGGAGGTATTGCACCTCATAAGGATTGAACATTGCTTAAAGACTATAAATGTCATCGTGCCCCACAAAGTTATGAGCTGACTGTTCATGCGTATTCGAACTTTTATTTATCTAAATTGTCTTAATTTCGTGTTAGTTTCACATTTTTTAGTAACTATAGTCAACAAGTGCATTCATATAGAATCTCTCCGATTCTCAAAGTCTGGTCGTCATTTTTCTAAAAACATAATTTCTAACCTTATTTTATCTCAGTTCATAAACTATCGGTTTCAGAAACTATCATCTGATTTTCATATTGTGTTTATGAATCATCATGTTTTATTCAATATTTTGACGCACCAAAGAATAAGAAATGACTCGTCCACTATTTAAAAACTAATCCGTAAGCCGTTGCTTCGATTTCAAACCTGTGAATTACGTTGCTCAACTATACATACTGTTGAATTAAAAACTTGCTTTAGATCTAAAAAAAAAAAAAAAAAAAATTTTTTTTTGACAAATGTCANTAAAAAAAAAAAAAAAAAAACATTTTCTTACATTTTATTTCATATAATTCATTATATTTTATTTTACAACCATTGTTGATCAGCCAACCCAATCTTGACTTTACGACTACCCATATTCAACTCCGTATCCTTGTTATTTTGAACCCAATCGGAAAGACAAAGGAACTCCTGGATCAAGTATTGGGAGAAAATTTGCCTTCCTTGAGGACTTTTTGATGGAACTAACCCGCATTTGCGTGACATGGCGAGGAAAACCACGAAAATCTCTTACGATTTTCGGATGGCAAGGGGACTCTAACCCGTGATCCGTCTTCCACTGAGAATAGTTTATGTCAGCACTGCAGTGGGTGCGACCTGGGTGCGGAATTCGTATTGATCAGCCTTTGCTGGAATTCGAACCTGGCTCACCTTAATAGGTGGAAAGCGCTCTATCCCCTGAGCTGCCACGGCTCGCATAGAATTCACTGAAACATTGTTCAAATTTAAAATTTTGCGTGAAAAAATTCATTATTTGTTATTTAATTTAGGCTCTCGCTTTACAATTCATTGCACTCGCGTATGTTCTAAAAATAAGCCCCCCACGAAGTGGACTTCCATTGTGTGAAAAACTGGTCGACCTTTTGTTCTCGAAAATGTCGCAAAAGCACCAAAAACCACATTTATTTTTAAATTCATTTATATATTTTAATATGCAGCATTCGGTGGGAAAAAATTTAATTTGAACATTCCACAGAAATATACATCCATCATGAAATGCTTACTCGAAGCAAATACTTTATGCTTAACAAACGGAATCGTTTTACAGTGAAACATTTGGTATTTGTCACTCGGAGGTTCAATGGTAGAAGAAAAACAACAAGAAAGAAGAAGAATTGTCATCATTGAAGTGTTTCTTTCTTTTATACAGGTGCACCGCAATTTTCGTGTGATCCTCCGGACGGTGCTGCAGCTGAACTCCTATGTCCCCAAGACAGTTACCTTCTCAAAGCATTGGGATCGTAAGCATCAACGGATGTTCTCCTATTCAGTTTTGACATAATTGAAAAAGAGGATTTGTAGTGAGAAAACTTCTGAACCAAATGTGCCTAACCTATATTCCTCTTTTTCGTCGATTTTCTTTTTATCATTATTAGTATTTTTAACTCTTAAGGACTACTTTTGGGGTAAATTAGGCATACAAAGTACGGAATTTTACAAGAATTCGACATTTTATATAATATTGATATCACATTTCATTAGGGCAGGATAGAGGAGAGAAGGGTACTCTAAAGTCTGTAAAAAGTGACAAAATTGACCCTGAAGGTGACAAGTACGATTGAATATTCATACTTGAAGATCACGGTAAAAATTTCCCTGGAGACAAAATACAGAACTATTTTTTATTGAAGTTATACTTCCTATGCGACTTCCAACAAGGCTGCGTTAAACGTTTAACGCTACACTTTTATTGGACGGGAAATCACGTGGTAGGATCCAGTTTTCCCTCATTCATTTCCATATTGTTTGGGTTCTCACTAGCATAAAAATAATAAAAGTCATAAAAGTATTGTTTTTCTATAAATATTTTTTTAGTTTGATTTGATACACATATAATTTAATAGGGTAGTATTTTTTATTTTCAAATTTAGTGGATAACAATTGTAAAAAATGAGTGAAAACAATCCCACGGACAATGCGACGGATTTAAGGTTATGTCAAGGTACGTCTCTTGTGAATATCAATTGATTGTTAGGTTTTCTCTTCTGAAATTACATTATGACGCATTCACATTAATACAAGTACATTTTCCAGGGCGAGACGATAAGGCAACCACAAACACTTCCACTGGTTCAAGAGGGAAAAATGCACAATATTACCGTGATTACAGAGCACGGAAGCGAGAGGAGCAGGTAAAAGAGTCGTAGAATAGAACTAGTGATCCTTCTACGACTGCTGATTCTTCTACAATTAACGTCGCAGGTTGCGAAGTTTAACTTCTTCCNTTTTTTTTTTTTTTTTTTTTTTTCAAAAATAAATTTCCGTGTTGAAAATTAGGTTGAGTTTGGTTCAGTAGTTTTCTCACAATCGAGTTTTTAACATTTTTGTTCTTATTATTATATTATAATTTCGAAATGTTTGTCCCCTTTTTTCTATATTTTTTTAAAATTCAAAACTATAAATACATCGAAGTTCATTTTGCTTATTAAAACAGTTATCTTTGTAAAATACAAGATATGTGATAAATTACACTAAGGGACAATTTTTTTTCTTCTGTTGCATAAGATTTTTGAGCAGATCTTAAGGGACTTCATACTGACTGCAACAGCAACAAAACCCATGTTGCAATGACTTAACGCATGCGCACTTTTTTCACCTTCCTTCTGTTGCAACAACCAGCGATTGTTTTCGCATTGGCTTCAAGAATTGGATGGGGTTCAA